CAGCAGACGATGCTACAGCAGCAGCAGACAGTACTACAGCAGCAGCAGCAGCTGTACCACCAATAGTAGCGATGGTTGATTGGGGTTTATTATACAACCTGGCCAGCTTGGAGACACGCACTCCACTTTCATACTTATCAATGATCTTTTTCTTCATCTCTATAGTAATTCTCACCCTTATTGCTGTAGGGTTGGCACTAGAAGCTTTCTTGGGGCCCATGGTCACTTATTTTGCAGATAAAATCACCAAAAACACTGTAATAATACGAAATGTTCCGATTGTATGCTTGGATGTTACCGCGGAGGCTGGCTGGTAAACAATGCCACCGGCGGCACATGCGAGGCTGGCTAAGGGCGCACATTGGACGCGTCTCGGATGAAGAGCGGTATGCGAGGCAAAATTTTTGCGATAAAAGCGAGCGGTATGTGGATTGTACGTTATGTGATGCCGACGGTATGTGGGGGTCCACTGTACTTGCAACATCTGCCACATTGCTCCCCTATCCACTCTATCATATGCCTTTTCTAAATCCATAAATGCAATAAAAACTTCCCTACCTTTATCTAAATACTGTTCACATATATGCTTAAATGTAAACACTTGATCTACACATCCCCTACCCACTCTAAAACCTCCTTGCTCATCCGCAATCCTACATTCTGTCTTACCTCTAATTCTTTCAATTACAACTCTATCGTACACTTTTCCTGGTATACTTGGTACACTTATTCCTCTATAATTTTTACAATCTCTTTTGTCCCCCTTCCCTTCATATAAAGGGACTATACATGCTCTCCGCCAATCTCTAGGTACCTTCCCCTCTTTTATACATTAAACAAAAATACCAACCACTCCAACACTATATCCCCCCTGCTTTTAACATTTCTGTCATGATACCGTCAGTTCCAGCTGCTGTACCCCCTTTCATTCTGCATAATGCTTCACGCACCTCCCCCACACTCACATCCTGCTGTTCTTCACTCCTAAAAGATGGTATACCTCCCTGGCCAGTGCATGAAATTACCGCCTCCCTTTCTTCGACGACATTTAAAAGTTCCTCAAAATATTCTCACCATCTACCCAATACCTCCCTCTCCCCATCTACTAACTCCCCTACTCTGTTTTTAATTGACAAATCCATACTTTCCCTAGGCTTTCTTGTTTAACTCAGTCCAAATTTTTTTCTTATTTTCATTAAAATTTCTTGACAGTGCCTCTCCCACTCTATCATCTGCTCTCCTTTTGCACTCTCTCACCACTCTCTTTACCTTTCTTTTACTCTCCATATACTCTACTCTTCTTATAACACTTCCGCTTTGTAAAAACCTCTCGTAAGTTAACTTTTTCTCTTTTATCACACCCTTTACTTCATCATTCCACCAATCACTCCTCTTTCCTCCTGCACCCATCTTCCTATAACCACAAACTTCTGCCCCACATTCTAATACTGCATTTTTAAAACTATTCCAACCCTCTTCAACCTTCCTTCCCTCACTACTCATACCTGCACCAGCCCACCATTCTGCCAATAGTTGCTTTTATGTCACCCGAACTTCCTCCTCCCTTAGTTTATACACTTTCACCTCCCTCTTAATTGTTGTTGCCATTTTCATCTTTTCCCATCTACCTCTTACTCTAACTATAGCTACAACTAAATAATGATCCGATATATCAGTTGCCCCTCTATAAACGTATACATCTGGAGCCTACCCATCAACCTTTTATCCACAAATACATAATCTAACAAACTACTTTCATTACATGCTATATCATACCTTGTATATTTATGTATTACTTATTACCAAACCTCTTTCTACACATACCTCAATTAAAGGCTCCCCATTTTCATTTACCCCTGGCACCCCAAAATTACCTACTACTCCCTCCACAACATTTTTACCCACTTTAGCATTGAAATCCCCAACCACCATTACTCTCAAACTTGGTTGAAAACTCCCCACGCATTCACTCAACATTTCCCAAAATCTCTCTCTCTCCTCTACACTTCTCTCTTCTCCAGGTGCATATAGGCTTACTATAACCCACTTTTCACATCCAACCTTTATTTTACTCCACATAATCCTTGAATTAATACATTTCTAGTCCCTCTTTTCCTGCCATAACTTATCCTTCAACATTATTGCTATTCCTTCTTTAGCTCTAACTCTATTTGAAACCCCTGACCTAATCCCACTTATTCCTCTCCACTGAAACTCTCCCACCCCCTTCAGCTTTGCTTCACTTAAAACCAGGACATCCAGCTTCTTTTCATTCATAGCATCCACAATCTCTTATCATTTGCACAACATCCACGCACATTCAGACTTCCCACTTTGACAATTTTCTTAGTCTTATTAGTAATTATTACAGGAGAAGGGGTTACTGGCCCATTGTTCTCGGCATTTTAGATGACTTTTACAACATGCATGGCTCACGGAGGAAAGATACTTATTCCACTTCTATTAAGATAAAATCAAAGAAAACTCAGATGAGTGTGTATAAATAAACATGTACATGTATGTGTAGTGTGACCTAAGTGTAAGTAGAAGTAGCACGACGTACCTGTAATCTTGCATATTTATGAGACTGACAAAAGACACCAGCAATCCTACCATCATGTAAAACAATTACAGGCTTTCGTTTCACACTCACTTGGCAGGACGGTAGTACCTCCCTGGGTGGTTGCTGTCTACCAACCTACTACTACTATTATTATTATTATAGTGGAACCTCAAAAATCGAACTTAATCCGTTCCAGGAGCTAGTTCTAAATTCGAAAAATCTGAAATTTGAAGCAATATTTCCCATAAGAAATAATGGAAATACAATTAATCCGTTCAAGAAACCCAAAAATATTCACACAAAAAATACATTTTATAGAGATTAATTACAGTTTTACATACAACAAATACTATAGTTTTTAATTATGTATAGTAACACATATAAAATAACATTTTTACTTACCTTTATTGAAGATTGGTGATGGCATCTGGAAGATAGAGAGGAGGAGAGAGGGAGTTGGGGTTAGTGTTTGGAAGAAGAATCCCCCTCCATGAGGACTTCAGGTAAAGCCCTCTCTGGGGTTACTTCCCTTCTCTGTCTTTTAATGCCACTAGGACCAGCTTTAGAGTCACTGGACCCTTGTCTCACTAAATAACTGTCCACAGTCCTCTGTTTCTGAAGGCACCTCATCCACTCCCTATATTAACACCTTTCGCAACATCAGCTTCCTTGATTTGTTCTTTCTTCGACAGGATAGAACGATGGTGGACTTGTTTTTCCCATACATCCGTGGCTAACGCGACGGTCTGGAGTTTTGAGACTCTCTGACCACGGGTTCAATGGCAAGTCTCACACCACTCTCATACTTCTGTATTATTTCCTTCTTCACATTTATGGTGTTTCTCACTTTCTTTACCACAGGGGTACCACTAGCAAGCTTCTTTGGGCCCATGGCAGCTTATTTCACAGTCCCACAAGCACTAAACACAACGAAATAATCGTAAAATGTGTGAATGAGAGTGCAGGTTAGTGTTCACTCAAGCATAAACAAAGCTAGACTGCTCACGGCGCCTGTGCGGAGACGCGGACAGACTGGGCGGCAGACAGGCCCCGTACCCAGCGGTCCGAAAATAGGGGCGCATTCGATAATAGGGACACAGTTTGTCCGAAAAAAATGGTCCTATTTTCGAAACGTTCGATATGTGATACGTTCAATTTTTGAGGTTCCATTGTATTATTATTATTGTATTTATACAAAATTTTAAGCCTGTTTGGGCCATTTGGCAAGAAAGGGTGGAAGCTCAATCCTCTGACCATTAATGGAATGACAGGAACTCTACTCTTGCAGCCAGCACAGTCAAAGGGGTCAAAAGAAACTTTAGTCCTTTACCATGAAAAGATGTCTACCTCAGGAATAAAAGAAATGTATTACATACATAAAAGTTTAATTTTCTTTTGAAAATTAAAGACATTCACCATCATTCACTATCACTGTCTTGCCAGAGGGGTGCCAATACTACAGTTCGAAAATGCAAATATCCCCACCCCTCCTGCAGAATGCAGTCACTGTATTAACTATCTCCAGGACTCAAGTCCTGCTAACCAGTTTCCCTGAATCCCTTCATACACATTACCTTGTTCACACTCCAACAGCACATCGTCTCACTACCTCATTCACATGCACCATGTCCACGCATGCACACACACACACACACAACACACACACACACACCACTCACACCACACACACCACACACCACACACCCCCTCACACACACTACACACACTCACACACACTCACACACACCACACACATCACACACACACTCACACACACACACTCACACACACACTCACACACACATCACACACACACACACACACAACACACACACACACACACACACACACTCTCACACACACACACACACCACAACACACACACACACACACACACACACACACACTCACACACACTCACACACACTCACACACACTCACACACACACACACTCACACACACACCTCACACACACACTCACACACACACACTCACCCACTCACACACCACACACACACACACCACACACACACACACACACACACACACACACACTCACACACACACACTCACACACATCACACACATCACACATCACACTCACACACACTCACACACTCACACTCACACACTCACACACTCACACACTCACACTCACACTCACACACTCACACTCACACACACTCACACTCTTCCTGGATGTCTAAGTCCCTCACACACATTTCAAGATGAGAGATTTCAGTTGGCATACTATCAATAATCAGATCATAAACACCACAAACCTGCATGATTGAAGTCTTTCCAAGTTATTCTGAAAAAAAGAAAGATTGCCTTACTTTGTCTTTATGAAGTAATTTATTCAAGAGAATATCTGAAAAACCTAATTTTATCTACTAACTACTTCCAAAATTTCATAAAGTTAGCTTTAGTTATTACCTTATCCAGCAGACAGTCTAGTTTAAATGACATTCTGTTCTTGTGGCTGCGGCTCATCCTCCCACGCATGTAGTATAGTGTGCGTTGTAGAAAAATCGGCTGTAATATAAGAAACAAAAACTACTTACTGGGCAATCCACAAGGCTTCCTTAGTAAGTTGCCATGCTACAGGAATACAGCACTGTGTGCAGCAGTCTTGTACATATCTGTTCTCTCATATGCTTGACTAAACTCCTTACCGAGTGTTAACATTTACACAATAAGGTAGCTAAAAATGATGATTAGAAGTTAACAACACTGAACAATATTTAATATTATATTCTAAATTATGGCGTGATTTATTTTCCAACACGGGAATTATTCGGACATTGTCAAAGCTGTATAAAAAATATGACTGGCACTGTGACACAGGTATATCACATTACTGCATCAATGACCACTGTAAAACCAATTCTCTGTACCACATCACATCAAACTAGTGCACATCACTCATAATATTTTTACATACCGTACTTCTATTAGTTACCTTGGGCTTAATAAAGGGGTATCTTTCAAAATGCAATCTTAAAAGTCACTGACCAATTTTGCTGAAAATCTCTTATTTTATACAGGACTATTAGGTGACCATACCCACTTACGGTCTTTTATTTTCTCTCATGTATGCTGTACAATCACACGTAAATCTTGTAAACTATTTACATTTAATATATGCACATCTTTACTTTCCTGGGTGTTTAATGTTGTGGTTTCATTTTTCCACTAGATGTAAAGAATTAATTAGGAGTATCAATCCATATGAAGATAGAATTTCCATCCTAGAAGAGAAATTCTATTTCCAAATGGATTTATTTACTCCTCTTACTGATTCTTTACATTTAATATCTAACATACTGAATATACATTATATTTAGAAATATAAAATGAAACTTTGATGTGGAATGACCGAGAAAATGCAACTAAAATTGTATAAATAGGTGTCAAGGTGTATAGGTTAAGTACAGTACAGATAAAATTAACAAGTTTCTATACAACTCTTGAAATGTATATACATACTGCATATGTACATAAAAATGAAATAAAATAGAATGAAAGTTGGGGATAAATTTCCAATCAAATTTGATTTAAGTTAGTTACAATTAAAGAGAAAAGTGGATTTTGTGGGACCCTTTGTTTAGGGTTTACCTATTTTTCAAAAAGTATTATTTTCCCAATGCCCTTGGGAAGTAGGTTAGAATCCCTTCCCACATGACAGACTACATGCTAGTGGAAAAAAAAAAAAAAAAAAAAAAAAAAAAAAAAACTACAATTAATTTCTGCAGTAAAAAAAAAAAAATATTCTGAAACAACTATTTATTTAATTTGAAGATATAAACTGATATACTCCACTACTTAAAATAAATTTAATGAAATTAAGGTAAACAAAAAACTTAAATTTAAATTCTAAGATAAAAACACTAAGCAAGTAACAAACAACTCTCTCCACAGATGATGTGCATTTAGTCTTGGCTAATGATATAGCAAATGAACTAAATAGCTGATGACATCTATGTCAAACAGATATTAATAACCAATTTATCAACAGCCACCTCCAAAATAAGCTTCATAAAAATACTTTACAGAAAATAAGAACCCCCAAGGAAATACTGTAATTCACACTAATTTCAGTGGATTACCCTTAGTTAAATGTATATAATGCATGCCTACAACATTTAAATGCTCTCAAAACCATTGTTCAAATTTATAATACTATCTGCAAAATTATTTGTAGAGTTCCTTAATAAAGTTTAGCTTATTTTCATGAAGCTGACATATCCAGTGTGGTAAATCAAAACTTCCTCTGTATTATCCTCAGCAAATGCAATATTTTATATACTCTTAAGGCAAAACATTTGAAGCCAGCCACAAAATAGCCAGAGCCACCCCAATTCATAAAGTGGGATTGCCAATACTGTCAAAAATACTATACTTGAGAAAATAATACAGGCAGGCCCCACTATACAGCACTGCACTTTACAGCATTTCACTAATGCATCAGTTTTCAATTATTCAGACTTCCTACAATAAATATACAGCCTCTCCTCACTTAGCGATGTACTCGTTTACCAACGACTCGGACTTACGATGGGCTCTCTGACCAGTATGCATACCCAAATAATGTATATTAGAGCTGATTTCCTCTAGTCTGTTTATTACAATATACAGTACACTGCAGTATAAACATTTAAAAATATACCAGAAATGTTATAAATAGTGCAAAGGTGACATTAAAACAATATCAGAGATAGTTGATAAACCCACTACCATTATAGTATGCTCCTCACTTAGCGATGAATTCGTTTACCGACGTGGTCTTAGGAACGAAAGTCCATCATTAAGTTAGGAGAGGCTGTATTCACCACTTACTACAAACTGAGACCAAAAATATTTTTAGGTAAGTAATATGTGTAATGTTTACGAATTTTTTAGGCCAAGTTCCACTGCTCAGTTAATATATAATAGTGTAAATACGTAAACAGGCTTTTATATGCATTGAAAGTGAAAAAAGGCTACATTTCACTTTACAGCGGTAGCCCAGAACCTAACCTGTATAAGCGAGGCCCTCCTGTACAGTACATAAAACATAATACTCATATATAACTACACTGTTAACACCAACCCATTTTTGATACTGATCACTTTCAAGTACATAACAACCCCTGTACTGATTCTTCATTCCAAATGTTATTCCAGCACATCAATGCACCATCAGCATCCCACCAATATTTCTGACACTAGTATAATTTCATGTTCATCACATTATTTTTATCAACAGTGCCTTCATACAACCTTCCTAGATTATTTATTATAAGGGTTTTTATATTATCACTAACATCCTATTTGTTTATTAGGTTTAATTTTGTATAGCCTTGACATTAGAGTAATAGTATGCCATCCATACTAATATTGTAACTGTCAGAAAGCTTTTTAATATATTAAAATTAATCTGTGCTTTTACTGCAAATAGATTTTTTTCTGTTGCTGAAGGGCAGTCTTCAGAATACACATATTTTTAAAGGAGCAACTGATGAGTATGATCAATATTTTTTTGGGTAGCTAGATTAAGATGAAGTACAAGGACAATGGTGTGCTGTCAGCAGATAAAAGTAGAGCAACAGTGAATGAATTAGAGACAGTTATGAGGAAGGAGCACTAGTGATGAAAGGTTAGCTACACTGAAAGGTACAAGGTTACAGAGGTACAGTGGATTTTAGAATGCAGTGTTAGTTTGTGGATCAAAGGTTTGTGGATATAAGAGTTTGAGTGAAGGAGGAAAATGAAATGATTGCTTGGATGATGAGATAAAAGGGTGGCATATTCAAGTTTCTTACATTTAAAAATTATCTTTTTGGTTAAGATTAAGTGGCAAGATGATGGATAAGGGAGTAAAAGCTTGAAGATGAAAAAAAAAACATTAATTCTTCAATGTAAATGATAAAATGGAGGTAGATTGCATGCACAGGGTAGTAAAGAATTAGATTTGATTGGGGAAAAAAAAAATAGTCAGAAGTGGAAATGAAAAAGTGGGCGAGGCAGTAAGTAGGTAGAAAATGGGAAAAGGCAGTGGGGATTGATGGGGTTAAGAATTTATATGATAAAAGCAGGCTGCAATAAGGTTTTGTGGGTTAGATAGTACATTTTGTGGGCTATATAGCCCAAAAAAAACAAAAAAAAAAGGGACAAAAACAATATGAATTACAGGGGAACAAGTCTGTTGAGTATACCTGGTTGTACGGCAATTATTGAAATAGATCTCGAAAAGAAAGTAAGTAGAATAACAGAGAAACAAGCAATTAGCAAACCCAAATTAACTCAGAAATGAGAAACTCTCTACTGTACAGGCAAACTTAAAAACAGACTTCAGATACAGTACTGTATATACTATATATACTGTATATGGATGTACAATGTTAAAAATATTGAAGACAACATGTTAGACCAAAAATATAATATGCAACCTTAAGCATGGTATCATAAAAACTACACGAAAGACGGAATTTTCAGATGTGCTTAACAATGAATTGCAGCATAAAAATTAGAAGTCTGAAAAACACTATAATTGAGAGGGGAAAGGGTGAAGATAAAGTACAACTGCACGTAACATCACAAATAAATACAAGAAAATAGATAAGGAAGTAGAGAGAGGAGCCACAATTGCAAACTACAAAAAACAGTGCAGAAAGAAGACTAGTAACATATTTCTTCACATATCATAAACAACAGATAAAATAAGAGGTAGCACATGCACTACAATAATCGAGAAATTTAACAAAATCTACAATATCTTTGCTCCTGTAACAAATATGTAATCACACATACACAGACCTGGCTCAGAAACCAGACTGCAGGAACAATGACCTGGGAATTACTTCAAGAAAGAAATACACCAACACGCTTATTTAAGTAGGAATCTAAAACCCACCCAAGTACATAGGCACTTTTCATGTTAATTATAAAGTTACAGGTATTGTTTTTGCATTCATTCTTAATTCAAAGTTAACAGAAACAGTATTACTAAACAGTTTGCTTACTGTACAATATCCAAAATGGGTAAGTATTCATTCAGTTAAATCCAAAGGAATATTTGCAAGTCACTCAATAGTAATATACAGACAATATCATATCAACCTTCCTAAGCATTATGGCATTTAAATATAGGCAATTCTAGATTTGTGTTACTGATACATATTAAATTTCATACTCACACTTAGAACATTTCTTGATCTTAGGTATCTGTAGATCTGTGTGGGTTCTGCAATAGTATTAAAGCAATTAGTCTTTATTTTTAAAATGCATTTAGAGAATTTAA